TACAATTTCAGGTGGTGGCCATGCACTCGATGAGTGTGACCACCAGCACTCCTCAACTCAACCTGGCCATCCGGCAGGATGCAAGCGAGTGAATACTCGGATGGCCAAAAAATCGAGGCTCAGGAGGCGGGACCAACTCATAGTGGTCTCCGGCTTTCTTTTGAGCAGGCTTGGATACCAGCAGTTTCGGACGCCACTCCTCCTTGATCTTGTCTTTTGGTAACGGTGTGGACGGGAGTGGCGGCAAAGATATGTGAGAGGGATCCTGCAAAATGGGAAGCACAGAAGGATACACGCAGACTCGTGCTCCTGGTGAGAAACAGTATGCAAAGCGATGAAGCAGGGAGAGTATTAGCAATGTAAAATGTTATTTGCTACTTGCCACCCCTCAAGACTAAGGTCCCATCATGCAAATCTATGAGAGCCTTGGCGGTGGCCAAGAAAGGCCTTCCTAGTATAAGGGGCACTTCTGTGTCTTCATTGATGTCCAAGACAACAAAATCCACAGGATAAAAGAATCTGCCAACCTTAACCAAAAGGTCTTCCACTATGCCCCTAGGATGAACTATAGATCGGTCAGCTAGTTGAATAGTCATCCTAGTTGCACTGGGTTCACCTAGGCCTAGTTTCTTAAACAATCTATATGGTATCACATTAATACTAGCACCTAGATCCTCCAATGACCTCTCTACATGCAATTTACCGATAGAGCACGAGATAGTAAAACTACCTGGGTCCTTTTGCTTCTGTGGAAGCTTGTTCTGCAGAATGGCCGAGCACTCCTCGCTGAGCTCCATAGTGGCTAGCTCGCTCAGCCTTCGCTTCTTCGACAGAAGCTCCTTTAGGAACTTCGCATACTTAGGCATCTGAGATAGTGCCTCCATGAAGGGCACTTGAACATGCAGCTTCCTAAGCATGGACGAGAAATTGTCGAACTCTGCCTCTAGCCTGTCTTTGTGAATCCTGGTGGGAAAAGGGAGCTTAGGCTTATATTCAGCCACTACTAGTTGTGGCTTTGGAGTTTGATTCTCTGGCTCCTTTTCCATCACCAGGTCTTCTTCCGGCTCAAGGGTGATCTGGGTCACCTTCTTGGCACTCTTCTACGGTGCATCCGCAGTCACGGTCCAACTTCTCAGCATAATGGCGTGCAACCCCTCCTCATAATTTTTGGGATTCGACAAGGGTTGGCCAGGAAGTGTGTCAGCCGGTCTGGAAGCAAGGGCATCTGCCAGGTGCCCGATCTTGGTGTCCATATCCTGCAAGAGTGCCTGCTGGTTTCTCTGGCCAGCTTCAATCTCCATGAATTTGTCTGCAGCCACTTCCATGAATTGCTCCAATTTATTGAACTTTTGGGTACTAGTGCTCGCCAAGGTAGTCACTAGATCCCTTAGTTCTGACACGGGATTGCCCGGTGGTGGGACTGATGGAGATGCACCAGGCTGCTGGTATTGCTGCTCTGGGGGCTATTGAAAAGCCTACCCCTGTCTTTGGGCTGATAAAGTGGTTGTTGATGCTGCATCTGGCCTGGGCGAGGCTGGTATGGCTGCCTCTAGTTCAGAAAACTAGCTGCAGGAGCTTGGAAGCCAGGTGGCTTCGGATTGTTGTTGCCACTCCAAGAGAAATTTGGATGCTGGTGCCATCCCTCATTGTAGGTGTTACTGTATGGGTCGTTGCGCCGGACATTGTTGATGAAGTTCACCTGCTCCTGGGGTGTACTAGACTCCCGCATGGCCTGGCAGTCCTCTACAGTAAGATGGGCGCTCTCGTACCACTGGCAACGCATTGTCGGCTGCTTCCCTGTCCCCGGAACCATCCCATTCCAATCGATGGCTGAGACCAGTTTAGACACAACCTGCACCAAATCAGAAGAGTGGGTGCCCACAGCATGTACACCTCGGCTTGGTGCTCACCTTGACCTCCTAGCACTGCCCCAATCATACCCTTTCTCTAACATCTCCTCAAAGAGCTAATTCAACAGTGGCGGCATCTTGGTCAGCATGTTCCTGCCATAAACCGAGTCAATCAGTTGCTTGTCTTCTGGGAAGACGGCGTGGTAGAAGGTGCCCACCTTGAAAGCATCATTGAAACCATGATTGGGACACCTCAGGAAGAGACTGTTGTATCTCTCCCATGTGTCTCGGATGGTCTCATCTTCATCCTGGATAAAGTGGGTGATCTGCTTCTGCAAGTTCGCCGTTTTTTACGGAGGATGATAGTGGGTGAGGAACTTGTCCACCAGGTTGGCAAACGTGGTGATTGATCCGGGAGGCCTAGTGTCCAGCCACTCCTTGGCTTGCCCCTCCAGAGTAAATGGGAAGTACCTCAACTGGATGGCATCAGCTGGGACCCCATTCATATTGATCCCATTGATGAGCTCGTGGAATCGCCTCAGGTGTGATTGGGGCACTCCCCCTCCTTGCCACGGAACACCACCAAGCCGCGCAGCATGGTGATGACAGAGGTACTCACCTCAAAGTTGTTGGCAGCAATTTGAGGGTGTTGGATGGGAGACCTCATGTTTGTTGCGTGGGCGGTCCAGTAGTAGCCCATGGTCTGCTCCTCGGGAAGGACCACATCCTGGTCCTGTGGGTCACCCATCTCTTCCTCCTCGGCGATTTGCAGCTGTGCAAGAGCTTCCTCCGCAGCCAGTCGCTCCTTTAATGCCCACTTGAAGTTCCTAAAAGTCCGTTCAAGCTCTTGATCTAATGGTAGTAAATCCCCCGACTGGCTACGGGTCATGCACTACCAGCACACAGTCAGTAACAGCAACCCGTGAAGGCACACAGGTGGAAGAGAGAAAATGCAGAAGAAAAAAGCTAGAGTAACAAACTTTCACGTTTCCCCAATAACCTAGAGGGTCCCCGGCAACGGCACCAAAAACTTGACATGCTAAAACACAACATCAAACTGCGACCAAGTGTAATCGCAGTCCGGAAATGCAGTAAAGTGGCAAGTTCTAATTATCAACCCGGGGTCTAGATATACTGCCTACTCCGTGAGTATCTATTATCTAGCCAACTAAGTCTATTGATTGTGGTTTTAACTAAAAGCAGTAAGAAAGCAGGAAATGGTTCGGTTTTCTAAAGCAAAGGAAGAGTCACTTGGGAATGAGTCTCCCTAGCTCCTTAGTTAGGTCACAGTTGTAATTACTTTTGGTTGCTTTACTGCTGATTATACTGCGGAAGATCCGACAGTAGCTTGGAATCTCTTAAGCTGACAAGCCCTCTCAGTCAAACTACCCGGCAGACGACTAGTCTTCACCAGGATAGAACGCTGAGGCAATGAACACAGAACTCCACTACTGGAATTAGATTCCAGTACAAAGCAGTGAATCGACTAACTCTCATATAATCGATTCACTACTACCGATTGATGAAGCTCTAACAACCTAATCAGATTCTATCTATCTCAGGTTGCAGCAGATATCAATAAAAGATGATCAGACTTCAATTGACTCAATCAAAACACTTCAATCGATTATAATCAAGCAATATCACAATCCAACCGTTTGATCCCAGACGCTCGTAGTCTCATCCTCTGTCTTTTAATGACAAAATTCCATGATTATTTGTCCATAATATGAGGTAGAAGTCCATTATTCTTCAGGTCATGCTCAAGTTTCTTCTCCCGAATTGCCAAATGATCTCCGATTGACTTGAAACTTGCGCCCATGCTTCAATTTACATGCTAGGACCTGAAATGTGACAAAGGAACACAACCTAGCATAAAATAGTCCAAGAAAGCAAAAACTCAAACCAAAATTATCAAGAAACGAGGGTGCATACACGTGCAAATACGATGTTATCACGTACAAATCTTGGGTTCTTTATACCCAGGTGAGCGAGAGAGTTTATTCCATAGAGAGAGAAGGGAAATCTAGCTCAGATGCGGAAATCATGCTGTGAAGGACGAGATTTTGCTTCAGGCAATCAATCGGCACTTTTCCAAGCTTAAGCCGAGCTCCAATGGTGATGAAGAACGATCGAGGGCACTTGGAGATTCTGGTTCGTCATTCTCTCTCTAGGTATCTGCTTTCTTTCTCTAAAAATCGGAACCTTTCAAAAATTGGTCCTCTTTCTCGCGATCCCCAGCCATAATACCCAGTCGGGTATTTCAGGTGCCCGGCCGGGGATTTCCAAACGTTGCGCAGCAGCTCGGGGGTTAATACCCGATCGAGGTCCAGAATACCCGATCGGGTATTTTAGCTCACTGGCCGAGACCCCTTCTGCCATTTTGGCGTCCCAGACGTCTTTACGCGGTCGGGTATTTCCAATGCCGACCAGGTATTTCTGTTTTCCATTCGCGCTTCTTGCATTTTACCCGGTCGGGTATTTTAACTCCGGACCGGGTATTTTCTTCTGTCAGCGCCCCTTCACTCTAGCGTTCTCCTTTTTTACCCGAAACACGTTTCCATGCCTCCATATCAACGCCAAGTCCTGAAATATGACATAAACGCACAACCTAGCGTGAAATCGACTTAAAACACGAGAATCGACTCTCAAACGGCTCAAGAATGGAAGCATAAACATGTGCATTTAATGGTCTATCAAGGAATCTAACCACGCAAGAATAAAACGGTCGACTCAAAACTCACATGGATACCCAGTCACCCAATGCATGGCAATTCTAATCAACAAGTAATCGAGTCAAGACATCCATTCATTTTTGCACACATGAAAACTAAAGTTTGCATTGTCCTAATGCACCGCTCAGTCATCATCATAGGACACACTCGATCACATGCAGAAATTCAAGGACAATGCCAATAAACATGAGATTATCCTACAAACCGGCCACTTTGATCATGCAAACATTGCTTGGAGCCCTCAAATTTTTCAAATTTGGGCATAAATCCAAGCATCAATCATACTCACGCAAGCATCAATCACACTCACACAAGCATAAGAATAAACCACCCCCCCTCCCCACACACACACACACACATATACACACACACACTTAAGTTTGACATTGCCCTCAAAGGCGTAAGATAGGGGTAGAACGATGTTACTGCTTTGTTTGGTGAGTGAAAGTTGGAATTGGTCCCGGGGTAGGAGATTTAAGTTTTAAGGAGAAGACAAAAACACACATACACAAACACAATACAACTCGCTCGAGGCGAGGTTATTACACATCACAATACGATAGTAGTAGTTTATGATCACACACACAAAATAAAAGAAAGATAAATAAAACAAAAGAGTTGAGAGTTCCAAGTGGAGTAGTGGGGCGAAACGGCTCTGCCACATATCTCCCTCGTCGGCTACCTCTCATTGGGTCGAAGGCCCCAGCTCATCATCTGGAATGAGGCCCTGGTGACGAACTATCTGCTCAAGGAGTTCAGTCTGCCGGTCGAGTCGAGAAGTCACTCCCACGACATGGGTCTCGAGGCGATCCATTCTCTGGACGAGGGGATCACCAGCTGGTGCTGCTGCTACTGCTGATGCTGGTGGTACTGGGCGCTGGAGCGCGGGACACCGGCAGCAACCGCGAGCTTGAGCAGGTGGCTGCTCTAGAGGTGGGGCCTCTGGTGGTAGAGGTAGTCCCTCAATGAATCGGAATGGACCAAACGATCCCAGCAACCGCATGGAACGCAAAATGCTCTCTTCGAACCCCGTGGAGCACCCTTCTTATGTGCAGTCCGCCAAACTAACATTCAAGTGACGGGCACGACGAGTAATGTAGGGCCCCATTGATCTGATATATCGTTCGTTTTCCCCATATGGCTCTGGCAAAAGAGGTGGCCAAGACTGAACCAAGATGACGGTTGCTAAATGGATCCGCCATGGAAGCAAACGCAACCAAGATCCTCTTGGTTATCTTGTTTGGATCGATATAGCTCGGGTAGAGGGAACGGGCTAGGATTGCGTTGATGATACACCACTGTGGCTTGAGTGTGGAGGCCAATGTGAATGTCGATCGAAACGGTGTTCGTCGGTGCTTCGGGAGGCAAAACCTGTGATATGTTGCATTCATGTCGTAAACTCTGATGTCGTCCTCTTCCCACTCATCCTCACTCTTGTTGTAAACTCTCAGTGATCGACCAAACTCGTCAAAATACATTTTGTGCCATCCCCCACCGAAGTGGAATTTCACCCTGCGCCGAGCGTACTATTTTTCATGAGGATGGTGAAGGTACTGAAAAACTCGACACACAACTCCTCGAAAATTTCATTCTCCATTTCAAGGATTTGGTGCCATTGTGGGTGAACCACCGCCTCCCTCATGATGTCTCCACAGTGAAGGACATTGAATTGATTGAAGTCGAGTTTCCAGTGTTCTCAGGAGTTAGTGATCGCCCAAAATTGCATCCCCCTCTCTGCTTTGGGGTTCCCTCTCAGTGCCACAAGGAATGGGTGGTTCATGTTGACTTTCCTACAAAATTGACAAACATGCACCATACGTGGAAATAAACATCAATCACAACGCATTGGGAGGAAAAAGAATCCCCCCCCCCACACACACACACATAAATTTCCTGTAGGGATCCATGCTGATCCAAACAATTAAGCTTAAGCACCTCGTGGCATGATTCTAGGTGGTCACGGATTATCTCACACAGAAATTCAAACCCGAACCATGACACGGTGGCGACCAACCACCACTCAATCAAATCATTTCTCATCATTCAACAATTAGCACTTGGTGGGCACGTTTCACAATTAAAAGCAATTCGAATGAAATCCTGCCCACTAAGGCTCAAATAAGCTTAAGCAACATCATTCAATCACCCTAATTCCTCACCTTAATTCTAAGTTCAGCATTCAATTCACTAAATTTTTCCTCACTTCACTACTTAATCCGATTCTCCTAAAATTAATAAGAAAGAGCTGAAAAACAACCTGGAGACTCAAGTAGGATGTAGGAGGAAGTGAGGTGAGGGGGAGGATGATGAAAATCAGCCGGAAAACAGACCGGAGAAGGGTCGTTGGAGCTTCGTCGGAAGCTCACCCGACTCTCATCGGACTCTCACCGGCGGCGACTTCGCCGAAAAAATGTGCTCCAAATCTCCCCAAAATCTCGGCAAAGGCCGCTTTTGAAGAGGGGAGAATGGGTATGTGCTTGGTTTTGGGTTTTTCTCGCCGAAAATGGGGGAAATGGCTGAACACCGTAGGAATTTCGCGGTTTTCCGACGAGATTTGAATTTTTCGGCTAGTTTTGGGTCGTGAAGAGTTAATGTTCACGCCCCTTTTATAGGCGAGGCTCGCAGTTCACGGACGCGTTTGCCAGTTCACGGTTTTAGAGACCGTGAACTCTGCAATCCGTATGTGAGCTGGGGATGTTCGACAAGTGTTACACTCGTGGAAGTGTCTGGTTCACGGACGCGTTTGCCTGTTCACGGTCTTACAAGACATTGAACTTGGCAATTCATCCGTGAACATCATTGAAAACAGGGCACTTCTGGAAAAAATTTGATTCAACCTAATCCACCGTGGCTTCTATCGATCACAGGACAACCTTAAAAGGCACAACCACAAAACGTGGCACGGGTATACCACTCGACCACTAGTACTCTTCACTTGACACACAAAAACGAAAATAAGGCCAAAAAAACAAACCTCCGTTGGGTTGCCTCCCAACAAGCGCTAAGTTAACGTCACTAGCTTGACGTTCCGGATCTATCATGTTTTGGAACAAGATGCCACTGAGAGTGGATCCTCCATGTTCTCGGGGCGAGGCATGTCGCCTCCCAACTTAAGCTCCATCGGATGCCTTCTTAGCCGATCACTTTTGCCTTTCCCTTTTCCTTCCATCGGGCATTAACACGAATTAACCTTTCCCTCCAAGCTACCTTCCTTCTTTCTTTAGGCGAGATGCCCTCCTTGCTTCCCTGCTTCACATCATAACAAGAACCAATAATAATAGTGGGGTTCGCCTTGCAAGGTTTCCCTCCACTTGCATTCATATCACCCGGTTCAACTTCCTTCACTTCCTCACTCCTAGGCTTATGATCAATTCCAAGAGTAATTCTCTCCTCACCATCCCTCAAGATCAAAGTTCCCTCATTTACATCAATTAATGCCTTGGCGGTGGCTAGGAAAGGGCTTCCTAGTATGAGTGGCATCTCAAAATCCTCACTTATATCCAGGATCACAAAGTCCGCCGGATAACAGAATTTCCCCACTCGTACTAGCACGTCCTCCACTATGCCCCTAGGACTAATGACAGAGCGATCAGCCAATGTGACACTAAGCGTTGTAGTTTTTAGTTCACCTATGCCTAGCCTCTTGAAAAGCTTATATGGCATCACATTTATGTCTCCCCTAAGTCTGCCAATGAATTTTCTATGTGATGAGAACCGATGCAAAGAGGTATAGTGAAACTACCTGGATCATGTTGCTTCTTGTGCAACTTGTTGAGGATGAAGGCTGAGCACTCCTCTCCCAGGGTGACATTGGCGAGGTCTTCGAACTTTGGCTTCTTGGAGAGATACCCCTTGAGGTATCTTGAATATCTTGGCATGTGGTCCATCGCTTCGAGGAAGGGAATGTTGAGGTGGAGCTTTCAGAGCATCTCCACGAAACCTCCACATTCCGCTTCCAAACTTTCCTTGTGGACTCTCGTGGGAAAAGGTAGGGGTGGCATGTACTAAGCCACAGGTGGTGGCGTCGGCAATGCCTTCCTTGCCACTCCTCTCTTTTTCCCCGAGGTTTCCTCTTCGTCACCCACGGGTAGAGGGTCTTCCTTCTCATCCACTTCTTGGGCAACGACCTCCGGGGTCACCTTCCCGCTCCTCAAGAAAATTGCATTGCACCCGGCTTGATCTTTGCGGTTGGAAATGGTTTGAGAGGGTAGGGCTCCCTTTGGTCTCTTAGTGAGGATCCCTACAAGATTGCTAATTTGCACTTCCAAGTTTTGGAGACTGGCTTGGTGGCTTCGGAGTCTCGCCTCAACCGAGGTAAACTTGGATGCTGCCACATCCATGAATTGCTCCATCTTCTTGAACTTCTGCGAGCTTGTACTCACAAAGGTGTTCACAAGGTCTTCAAGTTTAGAGAACTTGTCACCTTGTTGTGGTTGTGGTTGTTGAAAACCTTGACCGCCTTGTGCTTGGTATGGTTGTTGGAAGTTCGAGTTTTGGAATTGAGGCCTTTGTTGGATGAATGTTGGCTGAGGTTGGTAGTTGCCCGTTGGACCTTGGAAACCGTGAGGTCATGGATTGGTAGGGGAAGACCAAGCGAAGTTTGGATGATTGCGCCACCCGAGGCTGTATGTGTTGCTATAAGGGTTATTCCCTCTAGCATTGGCAATGAAATTCACTTGCTCCTCGGGGGTACTTGACTCCTTCATCGCTTGGAAATTCGCAATTTTGTGATTGGTGCTCGAACACTAACCACAAGACAACACCGCTCTATTCTCTTGCTTCTTATCCTCAAGGATCACCTCAATCAACTTATCAAGCTTCTCTCCAAGTGGAGCACTTGCTCCCACACTTCTCACTCCTTGATCGGTGCTTCTCTTTCCATTTTTGTCAAGCCCCAATCATATCCCTTAAGAGCCATATCTTCGAGCACCTCGGTCACTTGAGGAGGGGTCATGTTCATCAACCTCCCTTAGTATAGAGAGTCAATGAGGATCTTGTCATCTTGAATGAGTCCTCCATTGAAAGTGTTTATCCTAAATTGCTCCTCGAATCCATGGTGAGGGCATTGAATAAAGTAGTCGGAGAACCTTTCCCATGAATCCGTCAATGTCTTATCCTCCTCTTGCTCAAAGTGAGTGATCTTCTTCCTCCACTCGGTCGTCTTGGAAGGAGGACAATATCGGGTCATGAACTTGTTGATTAGATCGTCCCAAAAGGTGATGGATAGAGTCGGATAGTTGTTGAGCCATCAGAGTGCCTTCCCCGCCAAAGAATAGGTGAAGAGCTTCAATAGTAATGCCTCCACGGGTACGCCATTTATCTTCAAGCTTCCCACTAGCTCAAGGAACCTTTGGACATGCTCTCGTGGTGATTCATGGGCTAGCCCGTGGAAGTAAGCATTTTGTTGAATTATCGTCACGAGAGAGGGCTTGATCTCAGAGTTGTTGGCGGCCACGGGTGGATGTAAGATGGGAGATAGGATATCCGCCGCCTGTGGAGCCACGTAATAGCCCATAGTACTTGGCCCTTCCTCGGCTTTCGCTTCTCAATTTGGGTTTGGAAGCGAATTAGCCCCTCGGTGTTGATTTGCCGCCATCTCAACTACAACTGCTTCTTCAATTACTTCAATTCTGGGATCAACCTGTTGCTCCCTCTCTCGAGTTAGAAGTCGGAGGGTCCGTTGATGTCCTCGTCCAGCGGTGTTAAAGGCGCCAGATTGCTCCGAGTCATGCACCTGTCTACACACACTCAAAGAACACAACACGTCTAGCACAAGCAAACACTTCACAACTTAACAAAAAACAAAAATTAAAAGCTAGATTAACACCAAACAAACTTTTCACGATAATGGACCATTGATCCCCGGCAAGGTCGCCAAAAACTTGACTCACTCTAACTATCACAATAAAATCCCACCTAAAGTTCAGGGGCGGACCTAGGCACAAGGGAGGTGTGTCATCTGACACACCTCCGCCCGAAAATTTTGTGAAAACCCCTAATTCGTCGGTACTAAAATTTTGATCTCGGGATTTTCGCCACACCTCTGATCATTGTATCCGACACAACTCCATTGTGATTATGGAAATTTATTGTCACAAGTTATCAAAATATATAAATATAAGTTCAGGCTAGCGTACGTCCGACCACCGTCGCCAATTGGGTTTTGCTATTTAGATAAATAATTAACCGGACTTTGGGGCATGATCCTATATCCTAACCTCTAATGGGTGAACCCCCATCCCTAATTTTCTAACCCAAACTACAAAATTTGGTCAATCTTAAAATGAAACTTAACAATAATTTCGATGAATCAGAATCATTGATTTTCATTTTACAAGATTAAATGAATCTTGTGTTAGGTTAGTGAATTGGGGATTGCGGTTCACACATTGGGGGTTAGAGTATAATATCATTGTTTATAAATGATTGTTAAGTTGTGTATATTGAAAAACATTTGCTTTGCAGCATAAGTGATGAATGTATTTTAGAGACATTTCAGCAGATGAAAAGTCGTCGTGATTCGTTGTAAAATGACATTGTGAACTTCATAAATTAATTTCTTTTAATTTCTACTTAATTTTTTATTTAATTATTATTCTATGTTAGCGGCGACACGCCTCTCCAACAATCCTAGGTCCGCCACTGCTAAAGTCCAAGTACAAACCTTAGATGGATGCAATATAGGACAAGTATATTTAAATATCGACCCAGGCCTGTCCATGTACCGCTACTTCGACTGTTTGAAAAATTATCTAGCGGATCATTTTTGGTGAAAACAAAGGTTAAAAACTAAATTACTTTGCAAAGGTAAATTGGATTTGACTCCAGTTGAGAAAGCTTCACTCGGGTGTTGCTCCCCCTAGCTAACAATTATGACTTGAAGAATCAAACGGTCGTGTGTGGTTAGGGGGTCATAAACTGCAGCGAAGTCTAACAAGTAGCCAAAGTTACCCTCTTAGACTCTAGGTTGAGGAATGGGATACGATCCAAGCCACTGATGTAACCCTCTCAACTTATCGACTAAGGAATGGTTAGACTTCACCCTCGAATTGGAGTTCGGACGGCCACCCACAACCAAACCCTGAGTGTTTAATACGAATTAGGAGGTTTTCCCTTTAACTAACCTAGACTAGGAGGCATAGAATGACCAAGTAAACCCATCTCTAGTAGAGCTTGTTAAGTTAAAGAGGGTTCTCTCTAATCTAACTTAGGAGGCATTGTATGCCCAAGGAAACCCATCTCGAAATGCGCCTCTTAGGTTAAGGAGGGTTTTCTCTAAACTAGTTTATGAGGATTGAATGCCCAAGGAGACCAAACCTCTTGGGTGAAGGAGGTTTCCTCTCTAAACTAGCCTAGGAGGCATGAAATGCCCAAGAACCCCATCTCAATAATGAGCCTCTTAACCTAAGGAGGTTTCCTCTCTAAACTAGCCTAGGAGGCTTGAAATGCACAAGAACGCCCAATGAACCTCCTAACCTAAGGAGGTCTCCTCTCTAATCTAGGTTAAATTGGCAATTAGATTGATAGGCTTTCACACAACACAATCATTTCTGAATAATACCTCCACGTTCACATTAAAACA